GAGCAACAACAAACTTTCTTTCTAAATGCACAATATTTCTCTTTGCTTTATATTTCTATACATTTCAACTACTATAACAAAAAGTCCTATTCCAACTTTGCTGTGCATACTCCAGGAAATCCTTTCCAGCCCAGCTTCACAGCTCCAGATCAGGATGTCCTGCACTTTCTGAGTCAAGTTGATTTCTTTTATTACAGTGAAGTGAAACCCAGCCTCGTTATTCTCCACCGACAATGGGTCCGAAAGATAAGCGTAAAATAAAGTAATTTCAACAATCTATTTTCTTTGCTTGTGAAAACATTTTTTTATCGATTCTCACCATAACAGGGTTTGTTTTTATGTCCGTGCCTGAAAAAACTGGCAACATGTTTCACAAACTTTCACATCTGAGAGATATCTGTCAAGCTGATATTTTTTAGATGCGTCAAAAACATTCAAAATACATAAATAAGGATGAGTACTTGAAAGACTGTTTTTAAAGACATGACATGATTAGGCAAAAGAGTAAAGTCTCCTAGTAATATATCAGACTATTTTTGATTAGTTTTGACATGATTAATTCACTGATGTAAACTACTACTGTAGTCACAGCTGCCTGGGACAAACGGACAGTAGTGAGACTGCCAATCCAACCACCACTAATCATTCACAAAGCTGATACCTTCTTTTAAATTGTCACTAATGCTTAGAAAGTAGAACTTAAAAAGGGATAAACATATCACATGTTCATCACATGGCAAAGCAGTAGCAGTGTCTGTCTTTGGTTTCAATACATGTCTGCAGATCACAGCCCTGTTCCCAGGCATGAGGCTAAATTAGACCTCCACCGCCTGGATTTTACCATGTGCTATCAGGGGCTGTTATGTAACATGTTTATGCCATATCTTTCTTCTGCCAGACTTGTGATAGCTAATAATTCATGTTTTCATTCATCAGACAGGAAAGACCAAATGTTACAAAATAAACTATTTCTGGAGAATATTGTTAGTCGTAACAAATATGCAACACGTGCAATTGTGCCTAGCTAGGGCACCTGTATTAGCAGTATCAGTCTATACTATCTCACTCTCCTCTGGTCATCTCAAATACTGTGATTTATGGTAAAGTTGGTACTGTTCACGTGACCATGGAACAGGGGACACCCGGAATCATTTCTTTAGCTTTCAACATTTGTTTTCAAAACTGTTTGTTATTCTGTTTTTGTATTCTGTAAAATTGTGTTGTGCAGATTTTGAAATGAACATATTGATCCATTGATTGATGGTTTGAATAAGGTAAAATGAGGTTAATATTTCATACTAAAATGATTCTTTTTCTATAAATCTTTAGTGATGTTTTGTAAAATTTAGGACCTCAAACAAATACACCCTGACAATACTAATAATATTACATTAAACTTATCTCTTCGTTGTTATGGGCCCGAAATCAGTTAAGAAAGGAGGAATCTTGAATTCAGAGACATAGTTTCACTGTTATATGAGCAATCTTTTGGGGGGTTTAACTGGGCTAATGCTTTTCTTTTCTCTTCTTTTTTGAATAACAGGACTAAAATGTCACACTTTCTTATTTTTTGTGTGTAAAAGATTTCCTGACACGCGTTTATAACCAAATCACAAGAGCCTGATTATTGAAATGTGGTAAGAGTGACTTTTTAATCAAATTCAAAAGTGCGAATTAGTTAACTCACTTTGGATTTACTTTTTCCGTTCCTTTGACAAAACCACAAAAGATCATGGGCCTATTGCTCTTGAAGCCGGTATAATTCTTTTGTATTTAGATAACATTTTCCTCTGATTGCACAACTTTGGCATTTTGTCATCTTCACTGGCCTTCTTGTTTTCTACGTACATGTTATTTTGACCTGTTATAGTTCCTGGAGGCAGACAGACAGATGACATTTTGATGGAGCCACCGTAGACACAAACAGCCTGTGATGTGATTGGAGTCTTGTGGCCGTTTATGTTGTTACAGGAGATGCATTCCAGTTGAATTTGGAGAAGGGGGTGTGCTAGGTGCAACGCCGGCCTCCGAACCATCCCATCACACCCCGTCCATCATCCAGACTCACTCTCACTCATCGAGGCGTAACTTCACACCTCTGTAACCGCCGCGAGGTCCATGTTTTTAGTTTGGACTCACCGGTTTTAAGTGCACGGTCCGGTGGCGCCAGTGTCCCCGCTGTAAACCCAGTCAGACCATGTGGATCCAATAACAGGGGAGGATAATGCTGGTCGCACACAGGACGGGGTCATGTCGCCACTGTTTGAGAACTAAATCAAGAAAGACATTTTAAAGACAAATTGACGGGTTACTTTTTGCCCTAAATATAAATGTGTTGAGCATAACATAATGGAATAGAAATTGTTAATGGTTTTGTTTGAGTGGCACTTTTGTTGATGGTCCTCACTGTTCTTTTTATTGCTCTTTCTATTCTTCTAATAAGACATATTGGTATGATTTGCCCTTTAATCACCCAGTAGCAAAACTGATAAATTAGTTTTTCCTGTAATTATTTTATACCAAAAGGACAAGATGGAGGATACAAGCGGCATAAGTTTCCTCCGCAGAGTGGTGCTCACAAAGAGATAGGGTGAGGACCTCAATCTCAACTCTTTTCCAACTGAGTAGAGCCGCTGCCTTTCCACATCGAGAGTAGCAAGTTGAGGTGGCTCGGGCATCTGTTTTGGATGCCTTCCTGGGGGGGGGGGGGGGGGTGTTCTGTAAGAGCTGGAGGGGGTGAATGTGGAGAGAGAAGTCTGGGTGTCTCTGCTCAGACTTCTGCCCCCCGCGACCTGGATAAAACAAAAGAAAATGGATGGATTGGTTTTAATCCGCATTCTCTAGTCGATTGTGGGAAATTAGGGGTAATTCAACAATTCTAATTCTATAGTTTGACCTAAAAATGATGAAAGATGTCCCAAACTTGGCACTTTAGTGAAGATTATCGTGATGCTTCCTGGTTGGATGAGGGTTACCTGCAGATACATACAAAAGAGTTCTACAATTGGTCTTGCGTCAGTGTGATACTGAGTCATACATTCTTGCATGAATTTGAAACGATTCCTATTGCATGTGCATGTTACATCGATGATTGTTTCTTCCAATTTGGCCGCTCCTTTGACATCCAACCACTTTTCATTCTAACATAAATTGGCCCTTAGATGGAACTATGCTAAAACTTTAACTAAGCTCAAGTCAAACAAAGCAAAATCAGAACATGAAATTCCGCCATAAGCACTTTAATCTATTGCACATTCTTTTGCCGTTAACTCTTCGGTCTGGGCTTCAGTCCTGCACCTGGTCGCCATAGAAACACACAGTGAAGCCTTCACCAAATTAGCGTCGAACCGCTCACACTGTAAGCACTGATCTGCGAGCTGCTTCCCCTCCAGGATATTATATTTTATTTATGGTTTTATAAGAAGGCTTACACGCCGCTATATGCTTGTGTGCATGTGTCATAGCTTTAGGCATTTAAATATATCAATGTTAGTATAGAACCCAGAACAACACAAGCAGTTTCAACATCCCCAGTGGAAGGACGTTCTGGATTTATTAGACAACTTAGAGTATGTATGGTGGAATTGTACAGGCTTGGTTGAAGGATTTTCATATGTAAGGTCATGCAGTATGTATAAAAAACCCTGATATCTACTCAATTGAATGAACATGACTCTTTTGTACCCTAAAGATTGGTATTTGTTTGGCACATGAATGTATCTATTATGATTTCTGCATGTTTAAATTGTATATGTATATCAAGGCATGGGACCAGCTGTTAATTAGGAACATTTTAAAGATATAACGTATTTGTCTTTTGATGGGTGTCAAAAAGCGAAGCATAAGTTATCCTTTAAAATATATATGCACATAATTTTCTTCTCATTTGAGGCCGCTGTGGAGGCCACATACACCACATGTTCATGCTCATTTGTTGTTATCATAAATAAAACCATATCTCTATTTCTAATATGAGTAGACTATGCAAACTATGCTGGGTACCTAATTGTCAAAGGAGGAATCTAAACCAGGGTTATCTAACTTACTTTTTCTCAAGGTCAAGGTTTGCGTATACACTTTTAATCCAATTACCATTTGATCTTTGTCAATGGTGACTTTTTCCACACTGTCTGCTTTTTTGCAATCCATTAACAAAAAGCCTTCAACATAGCTCGCCTGAGGCTGGATCAGAATAGAATTGGATTTGATTTAAAGCTGTATTCTTTTTTTCTCCCATAAATAATACATTTTGTTTGTTTTGCATAGAAAGAGCCCTGCGCAGCTTTGGGCGGAGAGCAATTGGCTGGATAAGGGTGATCCTCTCATTTTTGCTTTTCTATTGGATAAAGCTGTTCAAAAGATGTGACAAAGGCCCAAAAATACATGAACATGAAATCTCTTGATAGACCCAAAAGGTTATATAGCAACAGATAGATACATTTGATGACTTAGTTCCAACGTTGTGGTATGAACATTTTTATTTAGCCAGGTTTACATCAGTAATCAAAAGTAAATAAATGTTTTTTTTGTTTGTTTTACATCTGTTGAAGATGGGGACTTAGGAAGACCTGATTTGACCCCAGGCCACAAGTTGAATTGGGTTAATTGTTGGATTTGATCTGGTCAAACCCTAAACTTATAAAGGTCCAAACTCTTTGGCACATCATTAGTGTGTGTCCAATAACTACATATTTGAAGTAAGCTCACATAGCCATTCCTTACAGATATGAAAGAATGTATTATATTTAGCTGGGAACAATTTGTGGCTGACAAAAATAGAAAAAAGGGAATTATAAGGCAAAAACATTCCATTCATGCTAAATGACACTAAATGATGCCACACGACCTTGACGTTGCTCTTCCAGACTCCAGTCTATTTATCACTTCTCGCTTTTCAATGACTGTACCTGTTCCTATATTTACAACGCGCCTGCAGACCGATAACATAACACATCCATGCTGCAGACATCACATCCCATCTCCAGGAGCGCGTCGTGCACATGTCAGTCTCCCGCTTCACCCAGCCCCGCCCCGCGCAGCCTCTGACGGGAACTCCCCCCAAGTTCCCCCGGTCTCTCCTCTGCGCTCTGCTCAGTCTCTCCGTGAGCTGTCACACTCAAGTATTCCCGCACAGACTTTTTACTCATCCACGCACACACAAACCCGGAGTATCGCCACTCTACAACCACCAGCACCACTGCCACGGCTGCACAATACGGCGTGCGTAACCCGCTTGGCACAGGCTCGCTTCGCTTTGCCCCTCGTCGTGACTTGAGTTTTTTTGGGAGAAAGAAACGACACATGAACGGGAGCGAAGCAGGTAAGGACACTTGGAATGTCTCGTAAAACTTTGCAGGGGAAAGACGGTATGGATCGCCGCGGGCACAATCGGGAGAAATGTATAAAGAATTGGGCGTGTTGGTTTTTGGAAGTGGCTGTGTTTACGCGTGCGTCTGGATGCACGTACACAATTGGGGGATCCTCTCGTGTCAATAGAAGTTTGAGAGGGTGAGACATGCAAATAGTCGCGGGGAAGTGTGGAATAAACCTGCTGTCCACTGCAAACTACAGCACTGCCTTTGAATGCACTTTAGTGACTCGGTTTTGGGTTTTGTCGGAGATTGTTTGGATGGAAATGGATATCACAGCCAACAAAAGTCTGCCTTTCTGTTCTGCTCTGTTGTGTGGCTCATGGTGATATCTTGTCAGATCCTTTGGGGTGGGGGTCAGGGAGGCAGCCACTGGGTCTCCCCTTTGGTATTCTCCCAGAATAGACGAGGCGCGCTTCATGAGCCCGTAAACCCGTCCGTTATGACCCATAGTGACCCACAGGAAGAGGCTGTGGCCCGTCTTAACGCGGGGCAACGCAAAAGGAGGGAATTCAACAACTCTGACATCATACTCTCCAGTTAGGACCTGTTTAATGTTGAGAGACCAAGCCTATAAATCTACAAATTATTTACTTATGTTATGGACAATGGCGATGCTTTGATAAAATTCTACGTGCGTGTCCGTTATGTCTGTTTGTTTCCATCCCATTCCATTTTCTTCCGCTTTATCCGTTGCCGGGTTGCAGTGGTAGCTGTAAGCAGAGATGCCCAGGCAATCCTATCACCACACACACTTCCTTCTCCTCCGGGGGAATCCTGAGGGACTTGGATCATGGCAATTCCATTTTTAAAATCTTGACAGCCAGTGTCCTTTAAGCCTGGATTTGCTTTGCAAAGGTCCTTCATCACATCCCCAAGACCTGTGCCAAATCCTTTCCAACTACTACATGCTTGTGATCCGAGATGGAAAATAAAGCCAACAAAATAGTTTGCAACAAGCAATGCACTATAAACATGTATGTAACACACTCCAATCATTTAGTCAAGTTAGTTTAATGAACAGTATGTCATTTTTTTCATTTTAAATTACATTTCCATTTTGTATGTGTGTCCCAGATCATAGGTCAATTGGCAGAATAAGGACCTCATTTGGGTTGCCAGTTTTAAAGGTGAAGATGAGGTCTTTGCTTGTTTTTCTTTTATCTGAAACAGAATTCACAAACTATTGAACACCACACATGCGTTAAAATGGAAACGGATAGAAGTCATACGTTTCTAGCTAAACTCCAGCTGGTGGATTTCATCAGTAATCTGCGCTTACGAGCTACATGTGACACATACAAGAAGATTCTGACAACAAAAGTGTGATTGTAGTTTTATTAAACCACTAAGAATCACATACCATCCATTCACAGGGAAAATTCTCTCATTTAAAAACTTTGGCAATTCAATGATTCTATAACATTTGAAACATCCAAAATATCAGATGACAACCAAACAACCTGCATATTAGTCACAAGGTAAATAAACTAGCGCCACCATAAACTATTCCCTCTATGAAAAAGTAGTAGTTTTAATAGAATTTGTAACCTGCAAATTCCGTTCTCTCTCCCCGGTGCTGAAAGGAACTTGTTGACACGTCGTAACCGTGCATTGATTTTTCATTTATCTTTTTCGAGGCTAGTCTTTCTGTTATAGACACAGAGGTTTGACAAGGATGAGTCATAAAAGACATTTGCCTGCTCCACGGTCTGGTCGGTGGATGGAATATGTAAGAGTGGAAGGAGAGTAGGAAGCTGTTGTCTAGCTACACACGCTGACCGTGTGAAGGCCATATACAGACAGTGGTGGATATAATGGGAGATGCTAGAAGTGTGGATCGCATTATTCAGACAATTGAACTTTAACAGGACCACTGCCGTATCACACATTATTCATTATGTCCAAGGAGAAATTGACCTTGGGAAGGGTAAGGTATGAATGGTCAAGCTGCATTAACATTTCCCATTCACTTTTCAGTAATGATGTTGTTTGTTATTTGCACGTGGCTCAATTTGCCAACTTTGTGAGGCGTCATTGAGTGTCCCAAGAAGCGCTATACAAAACTAATGAACTATTTATTATTAACTATAATCATCATTCCAGCTCATTCCAGTTGGAACTATTATATTATGAGCTGAATAATCTTGTTTTTTAGGGGGTAATGGAAAGGATATGCAGTGTATACATGTTCAGAATACTATTCTTAAGTAACCATGGTGATGCCCAGAGTCAGGACTAAACAGGGGGAGGCAACATTTCAGATGTATGCAGCTAAAATCTGGAACTGTCTTCCTGAAAATGAGCGGCAGACTCTTCTTCTCTGACAATGTTAAAATCCAGGTTAAAAACGTATTTTCACTCTTTTTAACTTTTTATCTTGTTTTGTTAATCACTTTGAGTTGCCTTGTGTGTGAACTTTGCTATACAAACAAACTTGCCTTATTCGCAATATAATTATTCTGAATACAATTACTATTCAAACAATCAAAGGAAAACATGTTGGTATTTCTGTATACAATTGCGGCTTAATATTACATCAAAATGAATGCAAACTTCAGTGATGTATGAGAGTTTGTTTTATCCTTTCATAATGAACTGTATAAAAACATGTGTACAAATGGTGAAAAAACACTTATAATAATATGCAAATTAGCATAACCGTATTCAGAATGCAGTAATCTGATTGGACCATCTAAATATACAATACATTCACTGTTCTGTAATGGAATACATCAAAGTAGTCTCCCCAAAACTGTCTATTCTTGTAATCTTGACGACATCTTTATTGTGTTTTTATATAAGCCAATGTCCCATGACCAACAAATGAGTAGCAGTAAACTTCTATTTGATTCAATTTACTGTTGTGTAGTTCTAAATCACAACAGATCAATCATAGAATCAAATAGTTTGAACACAGGAACTGCAATAATAACAAACACATGATCAATGTCCATAAAGGTTTATAAATGTCCATAAATGTCGTATTTGCTTAGATCAATAATATTCCATTGTCGGGTTAGATTTATTGACATTTAATGACAACTGAAAGCACTGCTAATTTTCGGAACATTATCCATATTATCTTTGTATTTCCGTCTGGATTTCTGCCTCAGGATCAACAAGCGATATAGTAAACCTCTGTTGGCTCCTGTTGAAAGGGATCTAGCCTTCAACCTAACTGTTTTACCCAAACAAAAATCAGTAGTTTATTATCTTAAAAAATATTCTTGGACGCAACACACTTGACATCCTAGAATGAGCTCAGTCACAAAATACGTAGCATTGACTTGTTGATTCACACGTGTTGTCATTTCTCTCGAGGTTATCCGAGGACTCCCTGTTTCTCATATGTTCCCAATACTCCTCACTCTTTGCAAACACAAGTCCTGCTTTTTACTTAACAAATCGACTGTGAATGTAATTGAATGTAACTGACAGAAAATTGTATTAACTCCTCGCCTCTTTAGAGTACAAACTATTTTTGTCACAGGAGGTCACGGTGTTTTCAAAGTTGGGCTGATATGACTTTGCCTGATGAAATGACGGGGAACTTTTTCAAGGTCTACATTGAAAAGTGTTTCAGATCCGCTGCGGCGTTTATTTGGAAATTACTTAGTTTGGAGAGTGACTTTACTTCTTGTTGAGAAAGGGTCAGATTTGGCATTCTCTTCAAAGATTTTTGTAATAATAGGGGTCGGTATATGACGATACATGAGAAGTGTTGCCATAGTGATTCACATTTTAAACTTAACTTTTAAACAGGAAAAACACATCAGAATGTTGCAGGGAACTAACGGAAATACTGGCAACCAATGATTGCATGAGATTGTATACTATATCTTTTAATAAGCTTGTCCCAAGTTTACAGATCCCAGGTTCAAAAACAAAAGTAGCTATTGGCACAGATCAACAGTCACATTTCTGTCAGTCTGTCCCAGGGCAGCTATGTATACTAAAATGTTGACTTTCTGTAATGGATGCAATGTTTTAAGTGACCTGTTATAGAAAGAAATGTGGCCATTATCATATTATTTAAACAATGTAGGGCAGGGGTGCTCAATACGTCGATCGCGATCTACCAGTCGATCGCAAAGGTAGTATTGGTAGATCGCATTAAATAAATGAAAAAATTACACATTCTAAACAAATATATACAAAAAACTCCGGGCAAAGTGGAGATTTTTGAAAACTCCGTTAATGCATTTGTGTGTAGACAGAGATAACCGGAGTTTTGCGTTCTCGCACGCCACAGTACCCCCCTAAATTCCTCTGATCACTCAAGCATGGATCATACTACCTTAAAAATTGTCCGCTGTGAGATGCTCGCAGCAGCGAACATCCTCCACATCAGAGAGCAGCAAAGTGATCGGACTCACGCTCGAAAACAACCAAACCAGGACTAAACCAGGACTAAACCAGGACTAAACCAGGGCTGAGGACGGGGTCAGTGCTTGTAAACATACGTCTTTACTCTGAGTGTCTTCTATGACTGTAAAAGTGCCGTTACCGGCGTCTGCATCAAAGCTCCGCCCACTTCTGTGTTTTTCCCCAACGCAGGACAGGACGTAAGACACGCACATGTTTGGAATGTTACGAACGTGATTGATAACGCAGATGTGTGGATGCAAATTATTTTATAAACTGAGGAGGGGAAATATTTGGATTTAAAAAAAATAGGCATGGCACATGGACATGGCACCACAGTCAAATGACATCTGTGTTTTACTCAGTAATGTTTTACTGACACTTAGGTGACTGCACATGCGCAAACAACCGCGCTCAGTGCAGGAAAGCTCAACAACGACAAACTTGTCAGCGAGTTACCACCAATTTTCCGGACTATGCCTCCCTGGCCGATTCAATTCAGTGCAAGTCATCAGAGTAAACTCGGGTAATGACAAAAAATGTACATAGGTAATTGTGTTGTGTTGTGCTATATTGGCTCATG